CCCCCTCACCCCCCTACCCTAGCCCCTCACCCCCCCACCCCGAGTCCCCAGCTCCCTCCCTACCCAGCGACCTGAGGAAGAGATGATCCGTGGAAGGGGGGGAGGGGAGAGTAAAGAGGGGAGATTGGGGAAGGGAGAGGGGAAAAGGGAAAGGGAGAAGGGGAGAGAGGGAAGAGGAAGGTGGAAAGAGGGATGAGGAGAGACGGAAGGGGGGAAGAGAGAGAAGGAGAGGGATGAGAGAAAGAAGAAGGAGAGAGAGAGAGAGAGAGAGAGAGGAGAGAGAGAGGAGAGAGAGAGAGAGAGAGAGAGAGAGAGAGAGAGAGAGAGAGAGAGAGAGAGGGGGGGGGGGATGAGGGGAGAGGGAAGGGGAGAGCGAAAGAAGGGAAAGAGAGAAGAGCGAGGGGAGGGAAAGAGGAGAAAGCGAAAGGAGGGAAAGAGGAGAAAGCGAAGGGAGAGAAATAAGAGAAAGCGAAGGGAGGGTGAGAGGAGAAAGCGAAGGGAGGGAAAGAGGGGAGGGAAAGAGGGGAGAGCGAGGGGAGGGGAGGAGCGGAGGTCTCGACAACAATCATAACCTAAGAATCGTCCCCTTAAACCCCACCATTTCATAAAGGCCGCCGTTAGCCCGCCAGAATAGCAAAAGTTAAAACGTATATAGCGAGAGTAATAAAGAAATATTACCCAGAGATGTAATGGTAAATCCCTTCCTATTACTGCCTATAAAGGAATGTGGCAGAACTAAAGCTATTTTTATATAGTTCGTTTTCTCTCTCCCTCTCTGTCTTCTCACTCTCCCTCTCTGTCTTCTCTCTCTCTCTCTCTTTCTCTCTCTCTCTCTCTCTCTCTCTCTCTCTCTCTCTCTCTCTCTCTCTCTCTCTCTCTCTCTCTCTCTCTCTCAATCCCTCTCTGTCTTTCTCTCTCTCTCTCTCTCTCTCTCTCTCTCTCTCTCTCTCTCTCTCTCTCTCTCTCTCTCTCTCTCTCTCTCTCTTCTTTTTTATACACCATCCGTAGCGCCCAATCAATCATTCCCATACCCCTCGCCCTTCCCCTCTACCCCCCATTTCCCCTCTTTTTACGGTCCCCTCCCCACCTTCCCCCTCTCCCCTCCCCACCTTCCCCCTTTCCCCTCCCCACCTTCCCCCTTTCCCCTCTTCCCCCAGACTACAAGCGAACAATTCTCTACCGGCATTACCTCTAGACGCGATGATAAAACGCTGTCATTAGAATTAGATGTGTTACCGGGCCAATATAACAGAAGGAGGAAGGAGGAAGGAAGAAGGAGGAGGGGGAGATGGGAAGGAGGAAGGAAGAAGGAGGAGGGAGAGATGGGAAGGGGGAGGAAGAGGAGGAGGGAAGGGGGAGATAGGAAGAGGGAGGAGGAGGGGGAGGTAGTAGGAGGAAGAAGGAGGAGGAGGGGGGGAGGAAGAGAAAGGAGGAAGAGGAAGAGGAAGAAGGGAGGAGGAGGAGGAGGAGGAGGAGGAGGAGGAGGGGGAGGAGGAGGAGAACGACGACAAGGAAAGGAAAAGGTAGAAGGGGGACAAGGACCAAACCAAACCAATACACTAATATTAAGGATCTAGATATAGAAGAAACAGTAGTAAATAGTAGAATAAATAGAAATATGTAATGTATACATTTGTAATATCCTTGTATATAAAACCTATGTATTTTTTATTGAATAAAAATAAAAAAAATTAAAAGACGGATGCCGACCACAGCCATTGGCGAGAAAGGGGCCAATGGACTGTTTTGTGAAATAGTAAGTTATACATTTCACAACACAGCTTCCTAGCTGATTTCTTAATAAAATAATGGAATGGAGGTCGGATCTGTGGAGGAGGATAAGGAGAAGGAGGGAGGAAGGGGGGGGGAGAGGGAGAGATGATCCCACTGTAGTCAGGGCTGAAAACGTATTTCACGACCCTCCCCTCCCTCCCTCTCTCCCTCCCTCCCTCCCTCCCACCTACCTAACCATCATCCCCTCCTTCCCCCATTCCCATCCACCTCCCCCTCCCCCCCTAACCACCCCTAACTCCCCCCATTTCCCGCACGTTAACGACATTCTTCTAACAGTTTTACGAATCTCTGGGCCTCGAAAGTGTCTGGACCGCCACTAAAAATCTGCATACACGCGCTCCGTAGTGTGGGAAGCCATCACAAGGTGGATCAGAGAGGAGGGAGATAGCGACGGCACGGAGGCACTTTGGTGTCACCCTTTGGCGGGGTAAGGGGAGGGGATGGGGAGGGAGGGGAAGGAGAGGGAGGGAGGGGAAGGGGGGAAAGGGGAGGGAGGGAGGGAGGGGTAGGGAAGGGAGGAGAGGGAAGGGAAGAGGAAGGAGAGGGAAGGGGAAGAGGAGGGAAAGGAGAGGGAGGGAGGGAAAGGAGGGGAGAGGAGGAGGAGGGTACGAATAGGGAGGACAGGAGGAGGAGGGATATAGGTGGGAAAAGGGATAGGGGTGGGGAGAGAAGGGAAGAGAAGGGGAGGGAGGGAAGGATCGAAAGTGGTGGGGGAGAGATTAAACAAAGAAAGGGGAAGAGAAGAGTGGATAGAG